AAACCTTGTTTCGATCCTGTTAAAGACACTGTTTGAGTCTTGTGGGTGGTATCCGTACAAGACACTGTTTCGATGCCAACCAGTGTGTCTTCCGGATACGAACCATCCTTCGAAATGAGCGACCGGCGACCATCGCACCGCAGCCGCAGCCGCGACCGGCGGCGCAGCCCCGACAGACGCGGCGACGGAGCTCCGACCGGCGCCAAAGCCGAAGCCCGGACCGGCGTCGTCGTAGCCGCACCCCCAGCGCCGAGCGGTCGCGCCGCCGCAAGCGCAGTGCCAGCCGCGATCGTCGCCGCAGTCGTAGCAACGACAGCGACAACGATAGCAAGACGAACAAGAAGACAAGCGACAAGCGCAAGGCAGCTGATACGAGCAGCAGCGACTCGGACGACGAGCGTCACCGTCGTCGTTCCAAGAAGGCGTCGTCCAAGAAGAGTAAAAAGGACACGAAGGACAAGAAGAGCAAGAAGAGCCACAAGAAAAGAAAGCATCATCCCATGCCATCAACCAGAACGAATATGGCAAGTATGGCATTCTGCGCGAGACCGACTTCCACGCCAAGGCCGTCTCGTTCCAGGCCTGGCTCCGCGACGTCAAGAAGGTAGATCCTCTTGTCTGCTTCCGATGCATGGAAACACGGATGTAGATCCCCGACTTTAACGGGCCCAAGTACGAGGCCATGGACCACTTCCGCGACTACATGGAAGACTACAACACGGCGACGTTGCCGCATGCGAAGTACTACGACATTGAAAAGTACGAGCAGCGCAAGTTGGCCAAGGAGCAGGCCAAGCGTGCGAAGCGACACAAGCCCCGTCCTGCGGAGGAAGAGGCGACGGCCTACGCCGAGCGCATGCGGCAGCGCGCCGAAGCGAACAAGAAGGAGTTTGCGCTCATTTTGCAGACCATGGACCGCAGCAAGATCGAAAGCATGCGCGAGCAGCAGCGCCTCCGCGACCAGATGCAGATGCACTACAAGGCCGGCAACATGGACGAAGCGCGGCGTCTCGAGCATCTGCTCACCAAGAAAGACGAGGCCAAGCCCGAGCCCGAGTTCAAACCCGACACGGGGCGTCATTTTTAGTCCAAAAGCTATCAACTTGATACTACGGGGCAGAGTGCCATCGAGTGATTTGATCCAATCTATAATTGGCGTTGACAGCATGGGCAACCGAGCCTTATCGGGGCCAGGGACGCCAACGGTAGGCGCGTGTGAAGTCGTCGGGACGCCGGCGGGTGTCATTGCACGCGTGCACTCATCGGCCACAGACAGCACCAAGCACTACACCTACGTCCCTCGCACGGCGTCGGCCATGGTCGTCCGACGAGGCGATCGCAACACGACGCTGTCGGCGTCGACTGTCCTCTATCCCAAGACGCAGCTGCCTCCCAACGCGACGTCTTGATGTTCCCACCATTATCAACACTATCCAATCGAGCGTATGCATATTTCAACACACCGTATCGTATCCCGTACGGACCTACTATCCAGTGGACGTCCAGCGCTATCCAAGGTCCAAGGGATATGCAAGACGTTGGCGCGATACTCAATATGGACGAATATTACCTCATGGGATGCCCGTCGATCGAACGACACTGCAGTCGGATAGCTACAGACTGCTTTGACCCTTTGCAACACGTTGGATATAGCAGGAACGAGTGAATAGAGGGTCTGTCGTCGTCGACAGTGTCCAATGACAGTGCCACCGACGGCCAAGGACCGCGACGTCTGGAAGACTGTACGGAGCGTGCAGTCTTGAGCTTCCTCGCTTCAGCTACCTCTTGCGCTTTCCCTTCGGTAGCATCATAAGTGCTGTATGTAGTATGGCCGTGGAACGATGTTACAGAGATTGACGACTTGCACGATGTCTCGACGCATTGCCACGTCGGGCGAAGCGAGCGCCGCGCTTCCTGGATAGAGTGCAGGCAACGCCTGGGTGGCGATCCTACAAATGCAGCAAAACCCCCTGCAGCACCACGATCACCCACGACGTGGCGCAGGTCCTACTGGACCACGCCGCGTGACACAGGTCCGCCGTCGACATCCAAACGTGGCTCGTGGCACCACACAAACCAATCGGGCTTTCCGTGGACCGCCAAGCACGACGTCATGTATATTAAATCTAGGATCTTAGTACAAGGACCGACGCCAGACTTTGACCGTGCTGTCAATGGACGCGGTCAGGAGCATGTCTTCGGTCGGGTGGCTCACGACCGACCGGACGGGCGTGTTGGCCCCGTGTGCGAGGAACGAGCGCGACGCATCAGTCGCGTGCAGCATGTCCCAGATGAGCACGCGGCCGTCTTCCGAGCCGCTAATGATATGCGCGTCGTCGAACGTAAAGCCGCATTCGACACCGTAGGAAGAGAGTGCATGGCCTTCAAACGCATTGAGCTCCGTGCCCGACGCCGCCTCAAAGAGAACGACGCGCTTGGCGAGCGTCGACGCCACGATGCAGTTGAGGTCGCTCGAGAGCTGGAGACTGACGACGGGACCTACCAGTGCAAGATACGTATCGACAACAAATGATAGTGGGTACGAACTGTGGAGGTTGTCTTGGGTGAGGAGCCCGGCGCGGAGGTCGTAGCTGCGCACATAGCCATCGACGCACCTACAGCAATCGCCCTGCACGTCTATCCATGGCACACGGTAGAGAGGATATCTATGTACCCCGTGATGATTTCGTGGTCGGTCATCTTGACGCTTGTGACGCTGTCCTTGAAGTGGTCGAGGACTTGAATCGGCGCAAACGAGTTCCGCGACCTAGCAATAGCATGGCACAGAGAAGGAGACGAAGACGACGGCGTACCGCATGTCCCAGAGACGCACGGTGCTATCATACGAGGCGCTGGCGACGACCGAGCAGTCGTCATTGTACTCGACCGCGTTGACGCTCTAGGGATCCTGCATGAGAAAACAGCGGCGATCCAAGACAGTGGGCGTACGTGGCTATGGCCGTCGAGCTTGCGCACGACCTTGCCCGTGGCCACGTCCCACTGGAAGATGGCCTTGTCGCGGCCACAGGACACAAACTTGGCATTGTCATGCTCGCTACACCATCATCCGCTGAGCACATCAGTTGAAGAAGAGCGTAGACGTACATGGCCACGTCGCGCACCTCGTAGCCGTGCAGACCCGTGTACGACTTGACGAGGAACGCCGACTCGGGGCCCTCGAGGCCATCGCGGTGCGGGTTCCAGAGCTTGATCGTGCGGTCGTTGCCGCAGCTCATGCAGTACGTGCCCTTGTCTAGTTGGCATGAGCGCCATGGTCATATACATAGAGCGCGATGCTACCATTGAAGCGGACTGCGATGACCGGGCCCACATGGCCGCGCAGGACGCGGGTGCACTCGTACGACGCCGGTGGCATGCGGCTTGCTGCTTGACTCCAACGGCACGATACACTATTTAGTGTACTCGGAATAGTGTACATCCGAAATTGAGTCTTCCCTAAATCGTGTCGCAAAGACGATTTCGTCCTAAAGTAGTGTACGTTATGGATTGATCGAGGCCGGTTATATGACAGAAATGGACCCGCGCAACGCCAGCCCTCTTGATCGTGCCGTTGGCTGCTACACGCGTAGTACGCCTTGCGCTCGCCTTCGTAGCGCTGCTCCTATCGCCCCGATGTCGTGACCTCTGAAAACGAGTATGACCGCGCAACTCACGGGTGAAGACCGGCCTTTACACGGCTAACGACCTCTCAAACTTGATGCATCAAAACGAAGTCCGATTCCGAATATTCGCCAGCGCAGCATGGACGCGCTCCTTGGCGATACGCATGTGTGGGCGACGATCCTCGGCTACGTCCAGCGCCAAGACGTTGCCATGATGGGTACGCCATATGCGTCGTCTGCCTTACGCCCATGCGCATGCGCCTCTAGCCTGCGTGAACAAGACGTGGTCCAAGGCCGTGGCGCGGCCGCAAGTGTGGGAAGTGCTGGCGCAGGCGCCGCGCGGCCCGTTCCTCGCGTCCTGCTTTCGCCGCGCCTCGTCGTACGCGTACCGCGAGACCGATGTTCCGGCGCCGTACGTCGCCCATCTTGCGGCTCGTGTCGCCTTCACGATGCACTAGGAATGTGAATCGCCGCGGCGCGCCGCCCACGATCCGCGGCTGTCTCCTCAGCGACCGCTCAACACTCAAAGACTACATCAACGAGCTCCGCGCCATGTACTATGAGCAGCAGAACCTCGCCAAGACGCCTGTCTACCTCGCCGTGCCTGACGCGCTCTACGACGACGCGGCTAGTGTGAGGACCGACCGCCCGTTCACACACGACGAGTGGCGCCGCGCGGCCTTCCAGTCGGTCACGCTCGTGCAGAGTCCGGGCAGTCCAATTGCGACACACGTACACGCTTCGATCCTCGGTTGCCGCATTCTTTTTCAAATGACGACCTTAGGTGCTCACGGGTGCGATCCTCCACGACACGGCTTTCTTCTACCTCTGGCACCTCAAGGAGGCTCGGATTGTCGCTACCATCTACCATGCGCTTGCCACCTGCTTTGACACGTGCGCCAAGATGCTCGTCATTGGCGCCTCGGACGGCACGGTCAAGACATGGGACCTCGCGGCCGCGGTGGCAACCAAGACGACGAGTGCACCCGTGCGCGGGTTGGTCCCGACATCGAGCCTCGCACCGCGCTCGCACATTGGGCTTGCGCCGTTTCTGCCGACGCGCGCCAACCAGCGCCACAAGCCCGTCAAAGTCCAGGTCGATGTGAGCGAAGGCTCGTTTGTGTTTGTGGCCGCCACGTACGAAAAGGGCGACGTGGCTGTCTGGAATGCGACCAAAGCCGAGCTCACGACGTCGCTCTCAGTCGAGAGGTAGCGACGCGTGGTCCATTTTCATTTCTTTGATTGATTTTGTTTTTGCGATTTAGCATTCACAAGTCGACACTGCCGCGGGCAGCCCGGACGCCGTCGCCGCAAGTGACGAGTCTCATGCTCTTCCGCAACACACTCGTGTGCGGTACCTCGGTCGGTCTCGTGCGGGTCTTTGATACGCGGGACGGGCGGCT